TAACCTTGGGTTAGAGCCTTTGCTTCTCCAGATTGAGGAGTAACAGGTGCAATGGCTTGGGCATGTGTTGCGAATGCCTCCAGAAAGTTAGGCTAAGCAACTGTTGCTTGGAAATCCGACCAGCAGAAAGCCCATGGGACGGCCAAGATTGACCTGGTGCAAACATATACAAGGAATCTGTTGTATATGACAGATTGCATTTGTCTTTTGCCGAGGCTGAGTCTCTGGCACAGGATGGGGAACGTTGGAAGCACTGTCTGACGCGTCTTCCTCCGCGTCCCGAAAGGAGAGGCGGCGATGGAAGATGAAGATGAAGGAGAGGCCTTTGCAAGTGTGTCGCAATGTCCAACGTAGCAAAGATATTTACTACAACACTCGACAGTGTAACAACAGTATGAATTAATATATGGCACACCACGGGAATGGAACTGCTACGCAGTCTCGTTGAACCTGTGGTTAGTATTGTATACTACTATACTTTCATGTTCATGGTCGTTAATTAAGCTCCACGGCTTGTTAACAGGCGTAATCTAATGATGTCCGCTGTACGTAAATTTTAGGTATATTCTATTACGTCCTCAAAGAGATACTCCTTAACGACAGCAGGTCTGCCTCGACTAGACCTTTCTAAATTCGATGTTGACCAGCGTAGCGGCAGTGTCCTTGATTTGGATTCTATGATTGAATTTATTGAGCAACTGCTTTTTGTTTCTGCATATTCTTTGACCATAAAAGCGATGAAGGAAGGCGTTTAGATGACACTTGTATTGTCAGCAAGTTCGCACTTTCCAAGCTGTTCAGTAAGATCAATATAACTTCAAGATCAAGATAACATCTTCGTTTTCTTCGTCTGGATACTTCTAGTGACACCAAATCTTCCCTAAGCCACCAAGCATGATGCATAGTTTGTCGTCGGTTATAAATGATCGGAAATGTTTGTACTGGTCAACTTCTTCAAATTTTTCTCCATGCAAATACAGATCGGTCTCTTCTCTGTTTTTTGTGCCCTATTCATCACTTTCGTTTTCTTACGATTGAGTCCGAAGTTTGTTGTTTCGATGACGGTTTGAACCTTCACTTTTGGTTGATTTAGTCCATATCTTATATCACTGGTCAGTATGATGTTGTCTACGCATTGTACATCCGTGTAGTGTATGACTGGTTTGATTCAGCCCTGTCTCTGGCTTAACGCAAGTCCTCCTTTGAGACTGTCAGCACGTTACCTCATCATCATCATCATATCTTCGCGATAAGACATCGTCTTCTCTCAAGCCATTTCTAATTCCAAACCAACCAAATAGTTCAACTTCCGTTTTTGCACTACGTACAGTGTCACTGTGCATGTGTTCTCATGCTCGGCAGCTAGGTCACAAGGAATTCCGTAATGCCAGGATTCTTCATATTGTGCGACGATGTAGTGTGTCAAACGCAGCTTTGAAGTTAATAAAATTTGCATACAACAGGAGTTAGTATATGTGATACTGTTTTACAATGTTCTACTGTACTTAAACCTCTTTGCAGGTTTAGGTACTTGTTTGCAGCGTGAAGATGACTGATGTTGTGCGGTCGAGATGTTGGAGAGTGTTTTATCCGTTGCCATCGGATCAGTAAACATAATCATTTTATTAATAACATGAATAATTACGTTTCTATTAAGTGAGCAGGTCTGATTGAATTATGTTTATTAATTAAGCTCCTGCTACTAGCAACTGAATCGTAAAAAGTTCTTAAACTCGTGCAATATCTGAAACAGAGGTTACATTGCTCAGATCCTGAAAGTAGTTTTGATGAACTTTGTCAGTAGAGATTTCTGGATGACTCGAAACAGGAGGTTGTGTCATCGCTTGATTAATTATTTAATCTTTAATATTACATAAGCTTTTTGTACACTTGAGTATTCATTAATTGCCGTATACGGTTGTACGGACAACATATGATGTTCATGCAGTGTCATGTAAGCAATAGCAGCTCCTGAAACATGTTTCGGGATGGCGGCGAGGTGGTTCCTGCAGAAAACATGATGCGAGATGCATCTGATTCCGCAAATTCTCAAATACCATAGAGCCATGTTCTGTTTAAATGCTCCCTCTAGGCAATTATTGGAGAGGCTGAGGCGATACGCCGTGAAATCGGGTCTTGGAGAAGTCATCAGTTATTTGACATACTCTGGCGTACGAACATCTTATGATCTTTATGCTGCATATGTTACTAGAACAGCCTAACAGCAGTGCAGTAACACATGCTCCATCTGTCAAAGTGAGAATGATTTGTAGGCGCCATATGTTTGCTTACTCTGAGATACGAGGTTCACATGAGTTACGAAGTGTTTGACAAGGCCGCTTATCGGCAGGCCTTTTCTGAAAGAAGAAACATTTAAGAGATGTTGTTTCACGTGTTTCTGTGGCTTCTCATCTTCACGTGTTATGCGGCTCCCCATGACTTGTTGGCCAACTGCAAAACGGTACTGAAGGGAAATATGAGGCCTTCGGAAATGACCTTCTGGCAGCATGTGGTTGGTTTGTGTTCAGTAGCGGAACAACATTTCGACGATCGTCTTATAATTCTTTTCTGTGCCAATTTCTACCGTTATCCGGTGTGTAAACTTGTCGACTACACGTTGAAACAAGAATTGCGGAATGGCACTCATGATGCTATGTACGTCGTAAGCGATAGCATGAGCTTCGCGCGCGACCTGCATGTGACTCACTTTCCAGCATTGACTCAAATTATCGCAGGACGTCTGACCCCTTTCCTCACGAAAATGAACTACCAAAATATTAAGGACTGGTTGCATAAATTCAATGTCAAGTCCATTATCTCAATTAATTACACGAATTTTGAAGACGTCGTGCGCAACGTCGATCCTACCGCGATTTTCATGTACCGCAATGGTGATGGATGTATGGACGCTGCACAGGGCAGGTGGTGGAGGAATTTAGTGAGAAGCATGTATGACATGCCTGTGATTCAATTTGCAAGTATGGATGTTAATGACTGGAACAAATTGATCATGCGTCAGCGTTTACATGTGGATCTAAGCGACAGATGTCCCCAGTTGGTAATCGTCTCAAATTATAGCTACATTCTTTTTGAAAAAGAAATCCTGCGACGCGGCGTAACAGATGATATTCGTTCCTTTATTTCGAACATTGTTCAGTTTAGCGCCAAGGTGTCGTGGAGGTCTGTTGGCGAAGATTTGACAGATATTGAATTTCAGTACGAGTTCATGGAGGAAGATGCTATGGAAGTTACCTCAAAATCGAAATTCATTATCATTGGCGTGACTGGTGGGATTGGAGTCATCGCCCTGGCAGTCAGCATTTTCTGGGGTCTCTCCAGCTCCGCCTACACAAATGACTACCAAAGTCTCTACGTGACTACTGAGCAAATGCAATATGGACATAATCATTGAACCATCATACCGTCCGAAGCTCCAAATACAAAATAGGAGTGCAACCGCTGCACTAGTTTCGGTCCTTACTGGTTTTCTGAATTTCTGTTTTACTGGATTATGATTTTGCAGTTGACGTTATTTGAAATTTGACTTTCCATCCTTTATTGCTGTTTGTAACCATATTATTCCATTCCATTTTGACAGTTTTATGGTTTCATAGTGTCCATGATTATTTACTTCTCTTTAGAGTTATGAAATCATTGCAATAAATGATTCAGGTATACGTTTCCTCTGGTCCTCATTTATCTTATTCATTTAGTCTTAGGCAACGTTGAATGGAAGTACCTCCATTGGATGCTCGTTTCCAACACTTCTATGACACGGTAGCACATTGCCTAAGAGGTTGATTTCGAAATCTAGACGTGCCTGGTTCGATTCGATTCCGCCGATGGGTAACCCTTGTCCTAACCACGAATTCTCTTCAACAAGTAACTCACCACACGTTGATTCAGACCACGGTTGTTCAGTCAGTATAATGTCTGACTCAGAACCAAAAGATGTGGGATTCGACCCCCTGTTGGGTCACTTGACTTCTTTCCGAAGTTGATTACCAGCCTGCAGGAGGAAAACGGATTACGCACTATGCTTCCTATACACGGTACAGACTCTGCTTTTAAAATAAAGTAGTCTTGGCTGATGACAGGGAAATGGTGATCGGTTCCTCCACCATTAAATTTATTTTTGAAAAGAAAGGCGAACAGAATGGTCTCGCCATGGAAGTATAAGGAAAATCGACTTCCCAATGGTTACAATTATGGCCTGCGCTTACTTTCAGTACTTCACGCTTTTCTAACCATTTTTTTCAGCAAAAATGAAAAATCGCAATTGCTATTATTTATTCATGTAGTTAGGAATCACCTGTGATACTTATTGGATTTTCAGTCATCTTGCGGACATAAGTTTAGATAAGTGTTATATCTTGAAACATTATGCTGAAAAAGTGTCATATCTTGAAATCCAGAAAGCAAGTAAAATTTGTCTGATTTGAGAAAGTCAGACTTTGGAGAACCTCCTGAAGCTTCAAGTTTTCCAAAGGAACAGTAAGTTATGCAATTAAACGATGAATACTTATGAAAAATAAAAGATTTAACGTAATCTGTTTTGCTTCTCATAACCAAATAATCAGGAGCAGGCTAAATTGTTTGTCATTTTCCTCTGAAGTGAAGAAAACTGCAGTACAGCAACGTCACACCAAGTCTCTTGTGACAATCAGCAGAAACCACGAACACACGACACGTTTGATTGTAAAACATCTGAACAGAAACTCAGTGCAAGGCATAGCCTTTATCTTTACCAAGTTTTGCGTAAATTTTCTATCGAAGTTCTTGGTTCATTTTCGACAATTGCATAATGTATTTCCTGCAACCTTACAATCTGATGATATAGCTTTAAACTACATCGCATCAACATGATAAGGAATCACGGTTTAGAAGGGGACTAATTTAATAATTAATACTGATTCATTTTGTAGAAAGCATAAGCATTTGTATAAATTTATATAGATAAATTGCAAGAAATTATTAAGA